AGCAGTGAGCAGGATCCTAATCCCCTGAATTATAATATTTCCAATCATAGACCTAGGACAGGTTTTAATATTGTCCTATCCCTTTATTCTTTTTTACATTTTATTTTTCTTTTTTATCATTTAAAAGATACCAAGTGACTTAACAATTGTTAGAGACTTGGGTTGTGTCAACTTAGTGGTGATGTCTGACCAGCTGGTAGACCCAATGCTCTGATGGCTGGGTCAGGGGAAGATATACAGATGTAGTGGTGATATGTGAATGACCAGAAGGTGGATCAGGCATGACACCAAGGTGGCTCAGGCCCAGCAAGTTGAGCATGTGCTCAAAAATGCCTGGACAAGACTCTATCTCAGTGCCTATGCCAAGCAGATATACAAGATGGCAGAACCAGAACTTGCACCAGTGGCCTGTGCACTCTGAGCAGAACCTATCCGGGAGGACACCTCAGGGTTTTACAAGCTCCCAAACCTAAACTTAACTTTGTCCTCTGTTCTGCCAATACCTTAAACAGGTGTAAGAGACACCAGACATTTCCATACCACAAACACCAGACAGGAGCAAAGAGACCAGCTACCCCAGGATGTGACCAGCACCCAGCTTTCTCAGGTTCCCCCTGAGCAGATGACACCCACAAATAAGCAGGAAGCAGTCTGAGAATCACCCGCCCCAATTCCTTTAACCTGTTGTGCCTAACCTCTCACCTTTTTATTATAAAACAGAGACAGGAATGTAATGGTCTGTCCTGTCCTTTTAAAAGACAAGCCCCGACCACTCCCTCACCCACCCACTGCCAAAGCAGGCAAATCTTCCTTCTGCTTCCAATCTGAGTTGTTCCTCTCCATCTCTCTCCCAAAGAGGCAGCTTTTGCCTCTCTGCCTTCTCCCCACTTCTCCCTTCACTCTCCTCTCTCTCTCTCTCTCTCTCTCTCTCTCTCTCTCTCTCTTTCTCTCTCCTCTTCTCCCTTCTGATCGTCTCCCTTTCCCCTTCCCTTCCATAGCCCACTAAATAAATAACCACTTTCTCTTCATGGCATGCCTATTTGTCTCAGTCTCTCACCAGCCACATGGCCCACCATGGTACCCGGACCCACTGTCTGCTGCAGCCACTTGGGGAACTTACACTGTTTTTACTTTTACCACAACAAGCATAACAAAAATAACCTCAAATTTGTAACAATATATAAAAATCCATACCAGTGTTAAATATTTAAGAGAGAGACTGAGAACCATGTAGACTCTAACCAGCTGATGAGACATCTTCTTCCTGTATTTCCTTTACCAGGAAACCAGAGATTAGCCTGGCTTCACCTGTGGTAGAGAAAAGTAGAGAAGGCAACATGTTCTTTTTGTGGCATACTTTAGCGGGACAATTATCCTGTGGTGTGTGTTTAGGCACAGTGAAGACTAGAAACCCACCAGGATGTAATCCTGCCTTCAGGTCATTTACTGTCAGTCCACTTAGGTTTCATCTGTCCCACTTTCTGGAATGAGCACACAGCAGAAGCACTTTGAGTCCAGTAATTTTAGGCCCACAATGTTTCTCTAGTGCCCATGTGACACTGTTTCTTCCTCTCTTCTCCTCCCTCCAACCTCTCTGTCTTCACTTTCCTTACCTCTATACCCCTACCCTCCTTCCCTGCCTCACTTCTCCACCCTCCTTGCCTATTCTGTCCTCCCTCCCCACTATGTATTTCATGCTGGTTTCTTCTTTCTTTTTTTTTTCCAGATAGGATTCCTTGGTGTAGTACTCCTGGCTATCCTGGAACTCACTCTTTAGACCAGGTTGGCCTTGTCCTAAAGAAATCTTCCTTCCTCTGCCTCTGCATCCCAGAGTGCTGGGATGAAGGCATGATTTGGCTCATCCCCCACTCTTCAAGGTTCTCTGATCTAAACAGAAAAATCTCAACAAAAGGAACTCATCTAATATCCACTTGTGAGCGAGTACATACCATGTTTTCTTTCTGGGTCTGGATCACCTCACTCAGGGTGTTTTTCTCTAGTTCCATCCATTTGCCTGAAAACTTCAAGATGTCTTTGTTTTTTACCACTGAGTAATACTCCATTGTGTAAATGTACCACATTTTCTTTAACCGTTCCTTGGGTGAGGAGCATCTAGGTTGGTTGTTTCTAGCTTCTGGTTATAACGAATAATTCCACTATGAACATAGTTGAGCAAATGTCCTTGTGTTTGATTGTGCATCCTTTGGGTATATGCTCAAGAGTGCAATGGCTGGTTCTTGTGATAGGTTGATTCCCAATGTTCTGAGAAACCACCATACTGTTCTAACGTGTCTGTATAAGTTTGCACTACCAACAGCAGTGGAGGAGTGTTCCACTTACACTTCATTCTCTCCAGCATAACCTAACATCAGGGTTTTGTTTTTAATCTTATCCATTCTGACTGGTAAAAGATGGTATCTCAGAGTTGTTTTGATTTGCATTTCCCTGATGGCTAAGGCTGTTGAGCAGTTCTTTAAATGTTTTTCAGGTAATTGAGTTCTTTCTGTTGAGAATTCTCTGTTTAGATCTGTGCTCCATTTTCAATAGGATTATTTGTTATTTTGAGCCAAGTTTCTTGAGTTCTTTCTATATTTTGGAGATCAACCCTCTGTCAGATGTGGGGTTGGTGAAGATCTTTTCCCATTCTGTAGGCTGACATTTTGTCTTATTTACCAGGTTGTTTGCCTTACAGAAACTTCTCAGTTTCAGGAGGTCACATTTATTAATCGTTGCTCTCAGTGTCTGTACTACTAGTGTTACACTTAGGAAGTGGTCCCCTGTGCCCATGCAATGAAGGCTACTTCCTACTTTCTTTTCTATCAAGTTCAGTGTAACTGGATTTATGGTGAGATCTTTGATACACTTGGACTTGAGTTTTGTGCATGGGTTTCTCTGAAGCTTTGAAACCTGTCATGGAACTTGCTCTGTAAACTAAGCTAGCCTTGAACTCTGAGAGATATGCATGCCTCTGCCTCACAAGTGCTGGGATTAAGAGTCTGCGTCACCACTGCATGGCACAAAGTACCTATTGAAAGAACTCAGCTTTGGTGACTATATTCTCTGTCCACCAAACACAATTATCTCTTCAGAGAACACCATTCCCTCTAGACCTAGAAACTGAGGATTAATGGGAAAGACATTGCCATTAATGGAGACCCTTGAAGAGTGGGGGATGAGCCAAATCATGCCTTCATCCCAGCACTCTGGGATGCAGAGGCAGAGGAAGGAAGATTTCTTTAGGACAAGGCCAACCTGGTCTAAAGAGTGAGTTCCAGGACAGTCAGGATTACTACACCAAGAAATCCTATCTGGAAAAAAAAGAAAGACAAAACCAGCATGAAATACATAGTGGGGAGGGAGGACAGAATAGGCAAGGAGGGTGGAGAGATGAGACAGGGAAGGAGGGTAGGGGTGCAGGTAAGGAAAGTGAAGACAGAGAGGTGGGAGGGAAGAGAAGAGAGGAAGAGGCAGTGTCACATGAGCACTAGAGAAACATCTTGGCCCTAAAATTACTGGACTCAAAGTTCTTCTGCTGTGTGATCATTACAGAAAGTGGGAGAGATGAAACCTAAGTGGACTGACAGTAAAAGATCTGAAGGCAGGATTACATCCTGGTGTATTCCCAGTCTTCACTGTGCCTAATTGTCCCGCTAAAGTACACAGTGACCTAACTTTTTGCAACAAACAAAAAGAACACATTGTCTTCTCTACCTTTCTCTACCATGGGACCCCACGGGTGAATCCAGGTTCATCTCTGGTTCCCTGGTCAAGCAGATTTAGGAAGAAATTTCTCATTGCCTGGTTAAAGGCTACGTGGTTCTCAGTCTCCTTTTCCTTTAGTGACTAGCGGCCCAGTTATCTGCTCTTCTGCCTTCAGCCCCATGTGTACTCCTGTTCCAAAGCTCAGGCCTCACCCCTCCAAGGTCAGGCCTGGTGAGCAACAGGTGCAGCTAGAGGCCCCCTGACAAGGTGCAGAGTCTGGTGGTAGCTGGTAGTGGCCTCCATAGTCCCGCTGGAAAGGTAGAAGCTTGAGTGTGGAGACAACCAACTCACCTTAGCCCTACATGACTTTTATCCATGGAAGTGGGGAACAGTGGGGGAAAGGAGGTGCAAAGCTCCTACATAAGACATGGCCAAACCCAAGGGCCAGAAGACATTGTTCAACAGCTACCATGTGGTTGTTGAGACTTGAACTCCAGTCCTCAGCAAGAGCAGAAGCACTCTTGAGTGTTGAGCCATCTCACAAGTCCCTATAGCTTCACACACTGGGTAGGGAGAGCCTCAGCTGAAGGATGGTCTGCTTCATATTGACCTGGGGGCACATCTCTTCTGCATTTGCTTTCTTTATGTTTTAATTATTTATTTTGGTTTTTTGATTTTAGAGACAGGGTTTCTTTGTGTATCTCTGGCTGAACTGAAATTCGCTATAGAGTGAATTCCAGGCTTTCATGTAACTCAAATATTTTCCTGCCTCTGCCTCCTGAGTGCTGATATTAAAGGCATGTACCACCATCACCATCTGGCTACTTTCCCAGAGTAAATGGAGTTTGTGGGCTGCTACAATGGCTCAGCCAGGGCAGGTGTCAGCCTGGTGTTCTAACTTTGACTTTAGGAACCCACGTAAAGGTGGAGAGACCTGACATCACAGAGTTGTCCTCTGACCTTCTTATGTGTGTGAGCACATGCGCACAAACACACAAAAACTAATTAATAATTTAGTTAGTGAATTAAAGATCAAGTTTGCAACTAGATCAACCTCAAAGGCTGTGTCAGCTGTTGGAACAGACTTATCACTTAGTTTATCCAGTTAACAAGGAGGATTATTGGGTCCAGCTACTCCTGGTAAGACCATATGTCACCATCAGCATCCCTCAGACCCAACCCCAGGATCAATGTCTATATCTCCTTATGACCTCAAAGCAGGGACTTGGCACTTTGCCAGTCACTGCACTGAGGCTGGTGTGGGGTGTTGAGCCAGCCCTTTATCTGTGCCTCTGCGACAGCACTGATTCAGGCTCTGCCACCATCTACAGCAGCTCTGCTGGTCAAGACTGTCTGTGAGGGTGGACATATTCTACTTCTGTGCTACTCACACGGTAGTCACAGGCCCGCCTGCTGACTGGACCCTGTCAGAGCACAGCTACAGGACTGTAAAGAGAGAAGTCACTTGTGTCCTCCTCTCACTTGAGATGAAACTCCTTCTGCTGGTTGTTCTGCTCACAGGTAGGACCCCTGTCCTCTCCGAGTGCCCCCATCTGTCTTCTCTTCAAGTGCAAGCTCCCACTTGTCACACCTGAAGTTTTGGTTTCCTGTTCCTATTGGGGTCTAATAGCCCCTAGGTTGGTGTCCCCTCCTCACCCTCATGTCCTCAATAGCTGGCACATTGACCTTAGAGAACTTCTTAGAAAAGTCCACTGCAGCCAGGAGTTGGTGGCATTTGCCTTTAATCCCAGCATTTCAGAAGCAAAGGAATGCGGATCCCTGTGAGTTCAGTGCCAGCCTGGTCTACAGAGTGAGTTCCAGGACAGCCTGGTCTACAGAGTGAGTTTCAGGACAGCCAGGTCATGCTGAGATGTGCAGACTCAAGTCCACTGCATTCACTTGCACAAGCTAAGAAAGTCCCTCTGCCTGTGCTGTATTCTCCTGGCATCAATTTATCTGGCCCTAACATGCCACGGCAATTTGATTTTTTCTTTTCATTTAAAAAATATTTATTTTTATTTTATGTGTATGAGTGTTTTGCCTGCATGTCTGTCTGTGAACTGTGTATGAGCAGTGTTTACAGGGGCCAGAGGAAGGTTGTGAGAACTGAGCTCATAGACAATTGTGAGCTGCCACGTGGGTGCTGGAATCAGAGCCTGGGTCCTTCCTACACAAGTTCAGCAAGTGCTCCTGGCTGCAGAGCCATCTCTCCAGCCCTTACTGTTATTTTATATGACCTTAACATGTGGATCAGGATTCCTCCAGCTCAACACTATTTCCCACAATTGAAACCTTCCTGCCCACACCTTCAAACTGTTAGAGTTAAATAGGTGCCTGACGCTGCCTCCAGATTGCTGGGATTACACAGTGTGTGCTCCACTGTATACTTCATTTTAATGGGTACCAAGGATCCCACTGCACACTGAATCCCGTCTCATTTACCTGCTCCTCAGCTGATGAACAGTTTGTTATGTCTTGTGCTGACATTACATATAGTGATCTGACCATTGGCCTTGTGTATGAGCTGTGCGTGGTTGGACAACAGATTCCTTCTGAGTCTCCAGTGTGAAACAATAGCAGGTGTTGGCTGCTTCTCTGGCTCAAGGTCTCAGCTAGAACTGTGATGAATATCACTGCTGGCTGAGGCTGTGTGTCACCTGGGCTTGAGTAAAAGTGGGGCAGTTCTCAAACTCAAGAGATGGCTGGATTGCTGGGTAATTGGCTGCTGACTGCAGAGTGTTCTTAACTCCTCAACACAGGGACCACAGGGAAGCTCACAGTGTGGCTGCTGTCGCCCTTACAGTCAGAAAATGAGAAGGCAAGCAAGGCAAAGGCAATGTGTTTAGAACTCAGTCTTGGAGAGTCAGCCCAGCCCAGTACAGTGGTGCACATTTATAATACTACCAGTTGGGACACTGAGGCCACAGGGATGCCACAGAGTCTGAAGGTAGCCTGAGTTACAGGGCAATTCCTTGTCTTAAAAAGTTAGACACCTTCCTGCTTAGGCCTGGTGACTTGAGTTTGGTCTCCAAGACCTACATAGTGGAAGGAGAAAAGCAACTCCCTAAAGCTGTCCTCTGACCTCCTCTTGTGTAGTGTCACATTGATGAGTGCTCCCAAGTGTGTGCTTGCCACCCTGTGTGCAGGCCAGCACACACACGTGCACAAAAACACATGCCACACACACACCCCTACCTCTATTCACCACTCTCCGGATGCAGCAGCTGGGAAGAGTCAAGAAGGAAGCTGGCAGGCAGGCATCAGATCCCGGGTAGAGCCAACTGGGGTTTATTGGAGTGTGCTTTGCGTTCTTGCAGCAGGTGCTACTGCACACAGCATCAGCCGTCGGGCTGTGAAGAGGTTTGGAAATGCCTTTGAATGTAATCCCAAGAGTGATTTAGAGACACTGGAGCGTGAACCCGAGAGAAATTTCTTTTCGAGGACCATTCATCCCTTGTCGGTGTACAGAGCATTTGGCTGCTTCTGTCCTGAAATCCTAAGAATCAGCCCTCATGAGTTTAATAAATTCAGGTGAGTGATCCACCTGGTGGGGACTGGATCATCTGCACTGGGATGGGGAAAGGACACAAACACAGCCTCTCATGAGGTATGAACAGGAAGTCAGCAAATTCAACAAACATCGTGTTTTGTTGGTTTATTTATTATGTATTGTTTCTTTCCCAACAGTGGTTTTCTGTGTAGCCCCAGGTGTCCTGAAACTCTCTCTAGAGACCAATCTGGCTTTGAACTCAGAGATCTCCCTGCCTCTGCCTCATGAATGCTCAGATTAACGGCCTGCATCACCACTCAGCATGTATATTCAAGAAGTGTCTTGTCATATAAAGAAATTGGTCCGGAAGGGCCCTGTGTCTAGTGGTCCCTGAAAGCAGAACTGTGAGATATAAAGAGTGGGCCTCGCTGTCCTCAGGCTCCAGACCAGGGCACAGCCATCACAGCCACCATCAAAGTGTCAGCCTCAGCTTTAAAAGGTCATCGAATCTTGAGAATTTATAATTTCACTATATTCCTGCAGCTTTGTTTAAAAATCATTTTTTGAGCTGGGTGGTGGTGGTGCACACCTTTAATCCCAGCACTCGGGAGGCAGAGGCAGGCGGATCTCTGTGAGTTCGAGGCCAGCCTGGTCTACAGGAGCTAGTTCCAGGACAGGAACCAAAAGCTACGGAGAAACCCTGTCTCGAAAAATCAAAAAAAAAATCATTTTTTGAGACATCATCTACTCTTGTATCCTTGACTTTTCTCAAACTCAGAGAACCAACTGCCACTGTCTCCCAAGTACTGGGATGAAAGACAGAAACACACACAAGTTGCTTTCAATAAATATGTGCTAATGGAAATCAGAGATTATCAAGCCTCGGGACCATTTCTTCTGGATCATTGTGTTGTTTAAATTATCCTGAGATGTTTGAGAGAGACTGCAAGTGAGAACTGACCTCCTGTGGGTCCTCACTCAGCCTCGGCTGTTCCTTCCTCTCCCCAGGTGCTGTGAGAATCATAAAAGGTGCTATGAAGAGGCAAAGAAGCTTGGAGACTGTAAAATTTACGAAGACAACCGCTATGACATTCCCTATTATTACTTCTGCTCTGGGAGGAAGCTCATCTGCAGGGGTAGGGTTACCTCCGGGAACTCTGGATTCTCCTTGGCCCTGGGCATGTTTTGAAGGGGCATGGAAGTAACAAGGACAGTCAACATTTAGCGATCATTACTTTCATCTCATTTGAATCACCACAACTTTATTATGTAGATACTTAAATTTAGATGAGGATATTGATGAGAAAGATGAGGAAGACTTGGCCACTTGCCCAAGGGTACCAAGTTTAGAAGTAATGGTTTTTAGTTCTGGAAAACAGGTCTACATCATTCCAATGCTTTTTTAAAGAACATTTAAAGATTTTATATATTGGGAGGCATGCCTGTGCCAAACACAGGTGTGGAGGCTGAGGACAACAAGCAGGAGTCTGTTCTCCTTCTGCCACGTGAGTCCTGGAGCCGGAACTTGTGTTCAGACTTGGCAGTGAGTACCTTTCTCCCCTGAGCCATCTTGCCTGCCCAGAGTCTCTCCATTTAGCTGCTGGGTTATACTGATTCCATATTTAATAAACAACTGAAAGCTACATCATGAGCTACAAGACAAACACTGGACTAAATGCCTACGCTGGGCAAGATTTTTCATTCCCACTTACAGGAGAGGTTCAGAGGGCTGGGAATGCAGCTCAGCTGCTGGAGTGCTTGCCCAGCATGCACAGAGCCCTGGATGAATCCCCAGAACCCATACATTGAGTGTGGTGGTTCACATCAGTAATCCCAGCACTTGGGAGGCAGAGGTAGGAGGATTGTCTTAAATTGTGTAATTTTAGAAGTGGGTGTTCATATTTGTCGTTCTCCTGGTTTTAGGATTAAATATCCGTGATTATTTATTTTCCTGTATAGGAATGAGTTGGCATCCCCTGTCTTCTTCAGTCACCCTCTACCGTGTCTTTAGAGGCTGGGGCTCTCACTGAACAGAACGCTCACCTTTAGCTACGCTGACTGTCAAACAAGTTTTGAGGATCCATGCTCCCCACTTCCCAATAGAGTTACAGATGCCCCATCTACACATTGAATCTTACATGGGTGCTGGGCATCTTAGGTCAGGCCCTCATGCTTGTATGGCAACTGCTTTGCCAATGGTGCCATCTCCCCAGCTCCACAATAATTTTTTTTTGTTTTTTCAAGACAGGGTTTCTCTGTGTAACACTTCTGGCTGTCCTGGGACTCTATCTTTGAACCAGGCTGGCCTTGAATTCACTGAAATCCACCTAACTCTGCCTCCCAAGTGCTGGGATGATTTTTTTTTATTATAAATGTGTTTCAACAATTTGGCCAAACCAATATATTTAGTTTGCTTTGTCTCTCAAGCCTAAGTCTACACCTATGGGAGGACCACCAGCTCCTTTTGCCTACAAACGGCAGCGAGCAGGGTCATAGCTCCACTCAACTCCCTTTCTTGATTCTCTGCAGATAAAAACAATGCCTGTCAGGATGCCATCTGCAACTGTGACCGCAATGCTGCCAGCTGCCTCTTACGGGCATTTTCTGACACGATGTTTGAAAAAGTTGGCTTGAACACCTTCTGTTAGACTTATCACCTCATTTACTGCCTACACCTCCGCTGCCTGACAGGTTGTGTTCACTGCACACTGTGCCTTCCAATAAAGCACCTATAGAAAGATCTAAGCATTGGTGATGGTTTTCTCTGTCTACCAAACATAAATAGATTTTCAGAGAACATCCTTTGCTAGCCGTAGAAACTGAAGGTTAACAGGAAAGACATTGTCATTAGCAGAACACCCTGAAGAGTGGGTTGCTGTGGGACAATGGTCTTGTACTGTGTAAAGATTTGTCACTTGAATTGGTTTGATAAAACGCTGACTGGCCAGTAGCCACGCAGGAAGTATAGGCAGCGTAGCCAGAATAGGAGGATTCTGGAAAGAGAAAAAGCTCAGTCTACAGTTGTCACAGACAAATCAAAAGAAGGCAAAATGCAAATGTCTCACTGATAAAGGTACCACGCAATGTGGCTAACACAGACAGCAATTATGGGTTAATGTAAGACGTAAGAATTCGTTAATAAGAAAGGCTGAGCTAATAGGTCAACCAGTTTATAGTTAATGTAGGCCTCTGTGTGTTCCTTTGGGACTGAACGACTACAGGACAGAATGGGACAGAAACCTCTGTCAACAGTGGGTGATTAGCCCAGCCATGCCTCTTATCCCAGCACTCTGGGGTAGAGAGGCAGAGGCAGAGACAGGCAGATCTCTTGAGTTCAAGGACAACCAAGGATTAAAAATCAAGTTATAGGACAGCAAGGAACATTACAAAAAGAAACCCTGTCTGAAGCAAAAGAAGGAGGAGAGGAGGAAGAAAAAGAAGAGGAGGAGGAGAAGAAGTAGCCAGCATGAGATACAAATGGGGTAGGGGTGAAGACACAGAAAAGGGAAAGGAGAGGGGAGAGACGAGGCAGGAAAAGGTACAGGAGAGGAGGGGAGGGGAGGTGTTGGGAGGGAAAAAAAGAGAAGCAGAGAGAAGGGAGGGGAGAGAGGAAGAAGCAGTGTCACATGGGCACGAAAGGCTACACCTTGGCCCTAAAATGTGGGACTCAAAGAGCATCTGCTGTGTGCTCATTCTAGGAAGTGAGATATAGGAAAGCAAACTGGACTGACTGTAAACGGCCTGAATGCAGGATGACATCTTGGTGGGCTTCCAGTCTTCACTGTGCCTAAACACACACCACAGGGTAATTGTCCCCCTAAAGTACATGGCAGCCTTTGTGCTACAAAGAAAACATAGCACGTCTTCTCCTGTCCATTTCTCTATCACAGGACCCCGCAGGTATAGACAGGCTAATCCCTGGTTCCCTGGTCAACCGTAATTAGGAGTAAAATGTCTAATTGGTGGTGTAGGCTACATGGTTCTCAGTCTCTCTTTTCATTTAATGGACAGCTGCCCAGTCCTCTGCCTTTCTACCCCCAAAGCCATCCCCACTCCAGTCTCACCCAAAATTCAGGCCTTGCCCTGCCCAAGACAGGTCTGGGGAGCAGCAGGTGCAGCTTGAGCTGCCTGCACAGACGTAGTGACCTAAGTTCAATTCCCAGCACTACATGTCAGCCCACGGCCATCTAGAATGGGATATGATGCTCTCTTCTGGTGTGCAGATGTACGTGCAGACAACACACCCACACATTTGCAACCCCATAACTTGGGAAGCAGAGGCAGGATGATCAGGAGTTCAAAGTCATTCTCAGATATGTAATGAGTTAGAAACAAACCTAGACCACAAAAGACTTTGTCTCTCAACTGGCCTAAATTAATTAATTCATCAATTATTTGAGATCTACCACCTTTAATCCCAGCACTCAGGAGGCAGAGGCAGGTGGATTTCTGTAAATTTGTAGTAAGCTTGATCTTTAGAGTGAGTTCCAGGGCTTTAGGAAATACCAAGTTTTTCTTGGGAGAAATTAGTTTGTTTGTTTCTGTATTTATTTTTAGAATTCCACCTCAGTACAGAATACAAAGAAAACAGGTGAGCCCTTGTCTCTAAGAAAAAAGGGGTTGAGTAGGAAGGCTAGCGACTTGGCTTAACAGGTATATAGAGCCCTAGCTACTTGTTCAGAGTTCAGTTCCCAGCACTTTCATAAACCCGCTCATGATGAACTGTGGTGCAGGAGAATTATCTGTTATTTGTCAATCATGTTTTAAATAATGCTGATTGGCCAGGTAGGAAGTATAGGCAGGTCAGCCAGACAGGAAGTAGAGGAGGGCCAATTAGAATAGGAGAATGCTGGGAAGGAGGAAGCCCATTCCTCTGCAGTCCAGCCCAGACCACTGAAGAAACAACATTTGTCCTGCCTGGCTGAGAAAGGTACTGAGCCACGTGGCTAACATAGATAAGAATAATGGGTTAATATTAGTTACAAGAGCTAATAAGAACACTGAGCTAATGGGTCAATCAGTTTATAAACTATGTAGACCTCTGTGTGATTTTCTTTGGGACTTGCCGGCTGTGGGGTACCGGGCAGGACAGAAACCCCACAAGCAGGCCCCTCATGTTACAGAACTGTGGCTCCAGCTCCAAGAATTCCATGACTCTTTGAGCAGCTGCACATACACTCAAGCATACACATGAACAAATTGAAAATAATAAAATAAGTCTTTAATAAATAAAATCCTGGAATGAGATTTGCAACCCTGTGTGTCTTATTTATTTATTTAGGATTTCTGTGTGTCTGAATGAATGACTGGGAAGCCCCACAGCTCTACACAGCCCAAGACCACAAATTACCCTGTGAGCTGAGATTGCTCCCGAGGTCGGGACAGGGAAGCATGAGATGCCTGTGCCCAACTCAGACATGGGGCTTTCCAAGGAAGAGCGTGAGTCTTCTTGTGCCTCATGTTTCAGGGCACACTGATTCTTTCCATTGAGTGCAGTGATCATACATACCAGCTGAAGAACCCACAGGGAATGAACTGTTTTCCCTTTACATACCAGGTTCAAGGCAGGCGTCCCCTTCTGAGAGCGAACATCAAGTAGAAATCCTTAGGGCACCCTAGCCTAAACACCTACCTTCTCCTCTATACAAATTCACAGTTTACAAACTTGGTACGCTATTTAAAATAATTTATTGTTTGGTTAATAAAAGTTCATTCTGCTGTTGATCATGCTGTTAAAATATCAAAGTGCTTCAGTCAGAGACAACCATGTAGAATTAGAAGTCAGTTATAGATGCCCTTCTGGTTCTTCCCTGAATTAGTGAGGTCTCAATGGTGGCCTCCACAGACCACACTGGCTCATGGACTTCCCAGGTGTTCCTTCTTCCCAGTGGGATGAAAAGGAAGGTGGCACAGCTCTGCCATCAAGAACAGCTGCTTCTTTAAAGTCCTTCTTAGGAGGGCAGCTCTCATCTGCACGAGGACTCTGACAGCTGTCTGTAAACAGGGGTGCGCACTGGTGGACTGGCCTGCAGACATTGCTTTGTGCCCTCTATAGGGCGCAGTCAACTGCCATTAGTTTGAATGCAAGGGAAGAAACTTTAGGGATCTGAAAAGAATCAAACAAGATAATGTCAATGGAGAGGATGAAATGGTTGTGAACATCAGCTTACCAAAAAAAAAAAAAAACAAGGATGGAGCAAGGATGGAGCAGGCATGGTGGCACACACATTTAATCCCAAAACTTTGAGGGCAGAGGCAGGTGGATCAGAGGCAGCCTGGTCTACACAGGCCAGCCAGGACTACACAGAAAGACTCTGAAAACCGCCGGGCAGTGGTGGTGCACGCCTTTAATCCCAGCACTCGGGAGGCAGAGGCAGGTGAATCTCTGTGAGTTCGAGGCCAGCCTACAACCAGGTCTACAAAAGCTCGTTCCAGGACAGGATTCATAGCTACAGAGAAACCCTGCCTTGAAGAACCAAAAAAAAAAAAAAGACTCCCCAAAACAACCAAAAACCAAACCCAAGGCCAGTGAGAAGGCTCTGTGGGGAAAGTGGGGAAAGGAGCTTTCTACCAGCACAGAGGGCATGAGCTCAATCCCCAGAACCCACAAGGTAGAAGGCAAGGACTGACTCCTATACATTGTTCCCTGACCTGGACACGTGTGCCATGTTACCTGTGCATCCATACACATGCACACATATACAAAATAAAACTGTAAAAGTGTCCAGCATTTACAAACAGTGGTGATGCACACCTTTAATCCCAGCCCTCCAGGGGCAGAGGAAAGTGAATCTCTGTGAGTTCAAGGCCAGCTTGGTCTACAGTGCTAGTTCTAGTACAGCCAAGGCTACACAAAAAAACACTTTTTTGGAAAAAAAGAGAAACAATAAGGTACAGAAATGAATCTTAATATATTATGGTAGGTAGAAAAAACTCTATACTGGCTGGGTGTGGAAGTACATACTGGAAATGCTAGTACAAAGACAGCTGAGGCAGGAGGACTTCAAGTTTGAAGCTAGTCTGGGCTATATATCAAGACCCTGTCCCCAAAATGTTAAATATCTACATAGTCTTTGGAAAGTCCATGAACGCATGAATGTAAGTAGAGATTGAAAGATGGACACGCTGAAAGATGTATGTATAGATGGATGGATGGACACACTGATGGATGGATGTATAGATGGAAGAATGGACACACTGACAGATGTATGTATAGATGAGGGATGGACACACTGGTGGATGGATGTATAGATGGATGGATGGACACACTGACAGATGTATGTATAGATGGATGGAATGACACACTGGTGGATGTATAGATGGAGGGATGGACACACTGATGGATGAATGTATAGATGGAAGGATGGACACACTGATGGATGAATGTATAGATGGAAGGATGGACACACTGGTGGATGTATAGATGGAAGGATGGACACACTGATGGATGGATGTATAGATGGAAGGATGGACACACTGACAGATGTATGTATAGATGAGGAATGGACACACTGATGGATGGATGTATAGATGAGGGATGGACACACTGATGGATGGATGTATAGATGAGGGATGGACACACTGATGGATGGATGTATAGATGAGGGATGGACACACTGATGGATGGATGTATAGATGGAGGCATGGACACACAGAAAAATGTTATTTGTTCTCAGAGGTTGGTTAAAGTGGTGTCAGGGTTATGGGAATTGGTAAATTTCTTCCTACGTGAT